TGGAGCTTCGCGCTGCGCATAGATTCACTCAGCACCTCCGCTTGCTCGCTTCCAAGCTGGCATTTCACTGACTTGCTGCAACGTAACACCGCCCCCTGCCCATCAGCTCGCCAATTGGTGATCTGAAGTAGCCATGATCAGACGATATGAAAATAAAGACGATCGCCCAATCCTAGTGTCCGCCCCTCCCCTGTCCTTAAGTTAGGAGGACACTTATATATCATATCGTTAAAATATCACTGTATGTTTCCCTTTTCCCAGGAAAAAAGCCCTAGACCAAAAGTACAAAGGAATATATGGAGACGTATGTCCACATACTTTTGGCCACATAGTGTCATGTGTAAATGCAGTAAAACCACAACAGATATGAACGTATTAACACATAAAAGCAGCCACAGAACTTTGACTTAGACAGTGGGCTGGGCATATTTTGAGATGGAAAACTCGGAGGTCCCATGACGCAGTGAACAAGACATGTGGCTTTGGGCCATGGGTTCAATTCCCACTGTGACAAATCCATCCATGTGTTCCTGAGCACTTAACCCTTAGTTACTCCAGAGGCATGCAACCTCTGACATATATAGCAATTGTAAGTCACTTTGGATAAAAGTGTCAGCTAAATGAGTAAAAGGAAATGGAAAGCAGTTTATGGATCCATCAATAGCTTTCAGTAATTCATTCTCATTCTGCCACCTATTGGCTGCAAGTTGGCACAGCAGGTTTTTGCAAAGGAAGCACATAACAAGGATCACACTCTCACATTCTCTCTGTGATGCTGCCAAACTGTTTTGAGTTTTCAATGCAGACACTTGTCATTTTGGGTATATATATAAAGACTGTTTCTTCGTACAGCTTTGATCTTTGCATGTAGTCACACACCGTCAAACTGGGAGACAATCCAGTGCAACCACAGGCTTCCACGGTCAACCACTGAGCCCTTCTTAATGCCTTGCTCACGGGTTCCTCATCCTCCCTGCAGTGCCGTTCAGAGTCCAGCCATTCAGATGAGGAGTCCAGTGGAGAGGAGGATGAAGATGACCCCATGTCCCTCTCACCCGCCTCCTCAGCCTCCTGCCACCAGCCGCCTCCTCCGCTCCCAACGGAGAGTTCTGCACCCAGCTGCCTGCCCGCTAGCCCCGCCCAGTGGAGCGTGGAGGAAGTGTCGCAGTTTATTTCCTCACTACAAGGTTGGAAGCGGATTACATCTTTTTGTGCATGTTGAATGTCTTTAGAAACAAAATTAATTTAAATACTTCCGGATGTAACACTAGTGTCTGTAATGAATGCTTATTTTAAGTTGAATTATTGATGTTTTAATAATAAGTCTTTATGTTAACAAGCATTCAAGATTGGTGTTGTGTACAGTAAGTCATCTGTAGAGATGAAGAGACTAGCTGTTTAAAAGAATAGCAGTCTGAAAAGTCACACATTTTTATAATCAGTGAATCATTTGACGTCATCGCACTTTTTCCCCGTATCCTTATTTTTTTGATTTTGTCGCTCCTTCTCCATGTTTCTTTCTGTTTATATTCCTCTTCGCAGGCTGTGAGGAGCTCGCCTCCCAGTTCCTGTCGCAGGAGATTGACGGCCAGGCCCTGCTGCTGCTGAAGGAGGAGCATCTCATGTCCACCATGAACATCAAGCTAGGTCCTGCTCTCAAGATCTGTGCCCACATTAACAATCTGAGAGACTGATGTCAGTGTTTCCATAAATCCACAATGCTCAAAGTCAAGCCCTGGGCATTTACCCCAAACTCCTGTTCCGCACCCAGTTCAGATACAGAACTGGTCCCAGAGCAGTCAGAGGCCTGCAGGTGCATGCATAAGGTACAGTTCATTTGCAAAACAAAAGCCAAGGCTATTTAGCTAGCTGCAGCACTTGAATATATTCTTGATTTGTCCACTCTTTACCACATTTTCAAATGTCGTACTTGCACAGGGGTAATGTTACAGTTACAGTATTGTCCCGTTTAAAGCTGTCATGTCAGTGCGTTGCGAAATACAACAGCTGTATTTTGGTAAGGATACATGTTACCGAAAATGTCATTTCAGCGCAAAATCAGTACTTGCAGTCAGAAATAGGCTTTACCAAGTGATTTCAATTTGCTTTTTAGATGCACAACTACAGTACAGTCTTGTGCCTGTCTTGTAAAATGCAAAAATGAAGGTTTTGAATGTATTTTCAACGCAGGAATCACTTGTAATATGTGGTGAGGGTTGTTACTTGCACAGTATCCCTACATTTTTAAGATTATGTACAAACAGGGCTGCCCATTTCACAGGCTTTAACCGAGGCTGTTTTAATCTTTATGTTACATCTCATATTTCTGCTAAAGTTCAACAGAATCTTCAAAAGGAAACAAAATAATGAATAAACTTACAGATGAACACACTACTAATTATTAATTGTATCATATTGTACAGGAAAAGTATTTTTGAAAGATTTGCTGACTTGTTTGGCTTTGGGATTCTTTCTTGTCTCTAAGAACAATGTTGAGTGTCATCTCGTCGAACACTCATCATGGATTCAAAAATGAGTTTTTGATTATAACTCTTGACCTGATTTAAGCCACAATCAGCACAGACTTCGGACAGAAATGCAGTAATGAACTTATATCTACCCAACCGTTGTGTCACATAACAAGTGCTTTCAAGAAGAATTTTGTAAGGAAAGCAATCATGATTTTTAACATTAATTTTATGTATGTCATAGAAACAAAAAAAACATAATAATTTTGTAAAAATGGCCATCATCAGTTTTAAATGGTGGCTTTTTTATTTTGGAAGTAGCCTCTTCTACTCAATTTACAGGGTATAGTTGGTTACGAGTACAGGGTACTGGCTGCAGAAATGACCCAAATGAAATCCAGACCCCTCAAGCCTCAGAGAGCATTTCATATTTCATGTGAGGCAAAAACAACTGCAAAAATACAGATGTTTCATATAGTTTTCTCACATCTATAAACTATTTTTTACATACAGAGCACATCAACAGTTGATAAGACACTACTGCAAAATGCTTTACAAATTTTTCACTGAGGATCTTTAGGAGATCCAACCTTTTAAAGTTTTTTTAACAGAGGACTTTTTGTTGACTCTGCTCTTAAAAGGACTATACTCTGCAAAATTATTAAAAGACTATTTTGTTCTGTCAGGCAATTTCAAGAGTGTCACTTTTTTGGGTACAACCACAGCTGCCCCTGATCTATACAAATGTATGCGTATGAGTGAAGGGTAACGTCATGGGCTTGATTTTGTGAAGTGAAATAAAGACATGCTGAAACAGATAAGTAAGCGGCAAATGTGAAGATATGCTGTTAATTTGTAGTATCTTTTAAGCTACATTCATGAACAAAATAAGAAAGTCTGTGAAGAAAATCAGGCTGGCAGCCACATGTGGACCTATGTTTGTGATATGATGTGAATCATACCTGAATGAGTGTGTGAATGAGAAAACCTTTAACTATACTGTAATAAGTGTAAAATTTGCCTTTATATTTAAATGCACATTTTTTTGCTGAATTGCCTTGTTTAAGCTTTTAACTGTAGAAGTTCTCTCATGTTATCTCTCTGTGAACCTTGTGGCCTTTCTCACTAGTCTCTACAATAGGTTTAGATGAGGATTGTCTGTTTTTTAACTACTTTTCATATCATTCCTTGTTTTATATTAGTGCTTACTTTTTTACAATTGTTATTTCAAGCAATGACATCTATTGCCTTTCCCAAAAAGCGTGACTGAATTGTAGCTACCTTGATCAAGGAAACTTGCTGTCTTCCTCATAGCTTTGTCACATAGCGTGTAACAACAGTATTTACCTTTCTAGCTAGCTATCTTTGGCTTTATTGTTAGTGACTGTGGCTATTACAGTATTTTCTTTCAAAAAGGATAATAATCTTTGATAGCTGTGTGTTTATATGTCATAGTCACCCAAGGATTTTGAAGTTTAAATTTGCAGACGTCATATTGTGAAGACCAAAAAATAGAGCACTTGTACTACACTACAAGTGATGCGCATCACAATTTCTTAGTCAAATCATTTCCGTTCTGCAATGATTACTGGTGTAACATTTGTTAACAAGCAGACCTTTACGACTTTGTTTATTTAATCATTGTTCTCCCAAAAAGTAGCACTTTTCTCATAAAATAACTGCATTCAGCAAAAGGCCTTTTTTTAATAAAGAGCTACTTCAGAATCAAAATGTGTTTGCTTGCAATAATCAGAAAAAAATGGCAGAATCTTGGAGGGACTGAGTTTGATGTGGCGAGGCTAACAACACTATCATGCAAATAAATAATCAAGGAACCGTTTTAAATTCTGATGCCTGTGTTTGTATTGAAATGGGACTTAAATACAAAGGCCACCTTAGCATAAGGGATGGAAAAAGTCTTCCATAATGTTTAGATTTACATGTCAGACTTTTCATGAATTGCTTTCAATGTGGCCCATTCCCTCGTTAGCAAGTGAGAACAATTACAGGTTTTATAGGGTGTGTTTGTTTTAAACTTATATTATGGTTAGGTGCCACAGAGATTATCTGTTCGGGTGAAGGTTAATAATGGATAACGCTGTTAATTTGGTTCAAAATAATAGTGACAGATTTGCCAATTTGAAACAGAAGTAGACAAAAAATTACTGATCATTGATTGATGACAGTCACTGGCAGATTAGACCAGTTTATCGGATTTGGTAGCAAATTAACATAGTTTCCAGGAGTTTGTCAAACTCTGTTTTCAGCAGATTTTGTCAAACTCTGTTTTCAGCAGATTTTTTTTTCTACTGAGTTGCTTGATAAAGACAAATAACCCTGCAAAAGGGTGTTTGTATGCATATGAAAACACGGTATCATCCTCATCATTGGATGGGCCATATACTGTATGACACAGAAATGAGGGAGCCCTGGTTTTACAGTGCAGTGTTATGGTCCCCTCACACTGCTGTAAGGTGAACCTCCTCACCTCTGCTGTATAGCTGTGAAAGTAAATACATATAGACATTTTTGTTATAGTTTAAAAAGTGTAGGAAGCATTTATTGTTTTCTTTCATTATATTAGTCTAGGCAATTTGAACAGAGTTGTAGTTTACAGGAAAATAAATATTTAATATCCATATATTACTATTTAAACATATAAAGTGAATGTGCTTTATGCCTTTCTGTATTCTAGCAGTAAAAACAAGTAAACAAAAGTTTTATTTCATAAACAACGCTATTAACATGTTGACATTCGGGTTGGACCACACCCATATTAGACCTCTGACTTCATTTTGATCTCAACTACACACCTGTAAAGTTTTGTGTCTGCATCTTCAACGTTTGTGAAAACTTTGGACATCTCCACAGAAAGACAGACAGACATATAAACACATGGCAAAGGACTCAAAACCACTTCTGTGGTAGTTACCACTAAGGTAAGGTGTCTCCAGGACCATGTTTTGCCATGAGACCATACACACACACACACACACACACACAAAAATACTCTGTTTTCCTTCTGAATTAACAGATAATGTACCTCAAAATCCCAGGAGAGGCTCTTGTTTAGCTGATTTGGTGGAGGCAAACATGTCCCACCCATTTAGTTCAATCCAGTTTTAATTTGGGTTTGAGACATTGGGAAATACTCCTTTCTTTAAGTAATATAGATGGTATTGTTGACCAAGTACTTGAAATCATATAGGACTATCCTATCCCAGCACTGCTGTTGGAGGCTGCATCAGCAACAGTGGCCTACTCCATGCAGGTGAGAGCTTCTAGGAGCATTTTGAGGTATCTGTTAATTCAGAAAAACAAAGCAGATTTTTTTTTTCCCCCATGAAAAAATGATTTGTAATTCTGAGATAGTTCATTCAGAAAAACCGAATCTTAAGACACTTGCAGACCTATGCCCTTGATCAAGTCTTTACAAAAATGTTATATAAACCAGTAGCTTATGTTATCCACAGAATAAAAGCTAATCTGCCATTAAACCTAAGGAGCTAACACTAACCACCACTCCTCTAAGTAAATTACCTTTAAAGCAACAATTAACCTGCTCACACATGTAACATTCAAGACTTGCATGCACCTCCAAGAACTGTTTGAAAACAACTTTGTGGGGTTCATCAATGCTGAGAAATGATTCAAAGTAAACTTTATGAAGTAGAAGTAGTGGAAGAAGCATTCCTTGAGATTCAGCAAAAATATGTGATGATCATGTGCACAGTAAAGTGTCTGAAAAGGACCACCACTAAAGAGGTGGCTTCATTTTTCAGCATAACAGATGTTATAGACTCCATGCAGATATTTGCATGCACCTATTTTGTCAGCCAGGTGTGACCTCCCCTGCCAGGTGCGTGCAGAACAACACCGGCAGCAACAGAGCCAATGAAGTCCTGACTGATGACACTCTCAGCCAATCAAAGCACAGCATAGTTGCATGCCTCTCCATATCCCGCCTCCCTCAGGTATTTCCCGATGTCCAGTGGTTCAGGCACTCTGAGAACTGTCCTCCCATTGGCTGATTTCTCTCTCGCCTGAAGGATTCTAATGAGTTCCGGCATTGAGACACGTTGTTGGGGGCTCCAGTGGCAGCAGGACTTGATGATGGAGTACCTGAGGACCAGAGTAAAACATTTTAAAACTTGAACCCAGCGAAATATACATGTGTATTATCGCTACCTGGTGTAAAAACATAGTTAGCAGGTTATTACAGCATTTTATTGGTGTGTTCTTCTTCATGAGCGATCAAATGTATTTGACAAGTGTGAGTGTTAACTTGTGAATAGTTTGAAAATGTAAGTTACCTTTAGAGTATTTCTTTTTGTTATTTGCCTTGGCTAAAGTAAAACAACGAAACAAAAGTAGCAAATGCAGTCATTTTAGTTAAGTTTGATTATTAACATTAACTAATGTTACTAGCTTTGCTAATTAAGTATATAGATATACTTTTATATGTCTGTTTAACCAGCTTGACCAAGTGGACGCACATGTTAGGTCATGTCTAGACTTGCTTGCTGATTTTAAGTTAATATGGATGACAAACTGTTTAAGAGGTGGAAGAATATATTGTGTTATAGTAAATGTATCAAATTGGAAGCACTATTTTTGATACTTGGATAGGGAAATGCATTGTTACATCACACTTTGTGATGAAAAAATGCATTTCATTTACATTCAAAAAGTAGGCTATCTTACTTTCAGTGGATGTCATGATGACTCTACATCATTTGTGTCTGATGATAAAGACCCTGCACACTGTGTTTCCAGCGTGCAAGCTTGGCGGTCTACAGTTTAATAAAAAATGATCTGCTTCTTGTCTTACACTGAGTTGGAGCAGGAGGCTGGCCGATTGAGATGCTTTCCTCTTTGTAGATACTGCAGAAGTTCAGTCGCCATGAGCTGCGCAAACGGTGGGTCACCTGTATACATGGGAGAATTATAGATTATATTTAAGTCTCTTTACTTAATCAATATGAACTAAAAGGATTCTAAGCTCCAATGCCAAGGTTTCAAAAATTTAGGAAATATGCATCTACCTTTTTTAACAATTTATATAGGATCTAGTTTGGCTTGTTAACTCACCCCTGTTGTATGAATTATTTGAATGTGCTTAAGTATCCACCACAGTGACTCTTAGTGTACTATTAATTTTCTTTTACTTAAATGTTATGCAGTTCAATTCTATGATTCATTAAATAAATAACTTCTCTTGAAGCTATGTCTAAAATTTAAAAACACCTACCCAATGTGACCATTTCATAGAGTAGGATACCAAAGGACCATCTGTCAAAAAAAAGCGTTGGAGAAGGGTATTTTGTCAGTAAAGGGAATGGGATTTATGTGTATATTGCGTGTATGCAATCACAAATTAAAATCCATCTTATCTCTATAGACTATAGATATAGATATCTCTATAGATCAGTTATTCACCGTCCTGAGATTATAATAAAAACAAACAATCGAGTTAGAATATCAAGCTTTGAATACTCTGGCTGGGATATTTCAATGACGTTCTTTATATTCTGTCATCTACATACATTTTTTTTTACAGAGGATTTGGACACTCACACATCACTGCTCTGACTGATGGCTCCTCTGCCTAGCACTTCAGGTGCCTGCCACTTCTTCAGCTCTATGTCCTCGACTTCGCCTGGTGAATTGGCCTGTGCTGTCCTGCGGTAGGCTGAGCCCAATCCCCACAGCTTTGCTGTCAGATCTCCACCAACCAGAATGCTGCGAGCTCCCACGTTGCCATGGATGCAGCTCTGACTGTGCAGGTACTCCTAGAAGATTTTCAGATTAAGACAGGGTGATAAGAGGGATGCTGGAATTTAGGGCTTTTAGGACCTGGCTGTGGAGTAGTAGAACAGTTCAGCACTACAAGGATGCTACAAGAAATATGAACATCAAACAGACTTTTGCAGAATTCAAATTGTATTTTGTTTAACCTGACAGCATACCAACATAACTTTGATCTGAAGTGTGAACATACTCTGTGCTTGCTCTGTAATTGAGATATCAAGGGGAAACTGGGAGATGGACATAGATAAGCTGAGAGAATTTTGCTTACCACCAAATAATAACAAATTGGGACACTATAGGAGATACTTAGCAGGGAGACAAATGAGGTATCTCTCCCAAATTATTCCCACAAATACAGTTTGTTTGTCCACGGAGCAGTGAGAGACACTGACAGACAGACAGACACAAGGACAGACAGACAGTTTAACCAACCAGAGCAGAGGCCACTTGTCCTGCCATGGTGAAGATCCTCTTTTCGGTCATGTCAAATGGAGACTCTAAATCCGAGTGATTCTTCAGAAAGAGAGGAGGACAAGGAAGAGAAAAGGAAACATGTAAAAAAATTTTGTCTCCTTATTGTTGGATATTAGCCCTTTGAGTCAGACTGCTAGATGTGTCTCTATGTTCTGTGATATCTCTCTCTCTCTCTGTTGACAGCTACCACACTGGACCAAATCTTTGTCAGGCTATCCTGTGTCTTGGAAGTAGGTGAACACACTGTACCTGCCACTGTCAAGTAATTATGGATACTAGTGTGTCTAATATTGCTCTGTAATGGCCCACAAATGCAGAGATTGGCAATTACTTTAACTACACTATATTTTCAAAGTCACAATCTTAACAGTCATGGCCAGGGTTTAGAGTTAATTACCCTACTATTTAAATGTTGAACAGAGTCCACTTCTGTGCCAATGATTTTGGGGCATTACGGAAATATTAGATTTTTTCTTTTTCTCCTTCTGAGGTTTTAAATAGTTGGCAGAGGGTCGTTAGCTAAAAATCCAAACCATGCAGATATCTCTCTGCACTACACAATCCTAAACATGGCTGGACTAAATGTTCCTTGTAATTGTATGATTTCCTCTCTTTGTTTTCCTGTCTATTTTCATACGCAAAACTTTCATCACCGGTGTCTAGCTTGAAATAAGATTTAGTTGCAGATGGCATTTAAATATTGCCTTCTGAAATGAACACATACCCTGCAGTTTTTCATTTAAACCACAGCGCACACCTGTTTCAAAAGAATTTGTCTGTGTTTTGGTAATTAATAGATTACTGTACCTGTCGACATCTCCACAGGAACCCTAACAGGTCTCTGTGCTGCAGCTCCTCCACAATCATCATTAGGGGTGACTGCACTGAAACCACACCCAGGAGACCAGGTAGGAAGGGGTGCGGACCCAGTCCTGACACGAAGGAAGCGAAACCCAAAAAGTGCTGCTTCTCACTGCTGTTTGCTGATTCTGAGAAAGAGGTCAGATAACAGAATAGCTTATTTACTTTTTTTCAACCATGCAACATTCAGTGAGAAGCATTGCTCTCTTTTTCAAGACCACCCTGCTTCACATTTACTCAGTTACTTTACTGCGTATTTAGCTTATTTTCATAAAGATTTAACCATACATTTTGTATTTGAAAAGTCATAAAAAGGCTTCTGCGCCATCAATCATTTAGAGATGTTGAACGTGGAACCTCACTGAAGAAGTCCTATATTTGATATCTTTGAGATTATGGAAGCTCTGATTTGAACCAAAACCAAGTATAAAACTTTAGTGTCTGTAAACCCAATATCAAACCATTTCTCATATCTTATTGTTGAGAAGATGAGGAGAGAGCACAACAAAATTATTTCTCTGCAGTTATTCAACAGGCATGCAGTAAGCAGTTGGTCTGTGTTTGAGAGTTGGTTTTGTACAACTCACTTTACCTTTCAGCACTCTGAGGATGACATCCCTGTTGTCCATGCGTGCTCTGTAGACCTTGACTGTGTCATTAGGATTAATAGCGAAGGACAGTGGCAGGGCTGTGACCTGGCTGAAGGCTCCAGGATGCCTGTCTGTGGACATCTGTGGTACTGCAGCCAGCGTTGGCCCGACACTCTGCTGAACTTGTTGAACTGACATTGGCAGCTCTTCATGTTCCAGTGGGTTTAGCCCTGGGGGTGCTTTTGAGAGAGAGAGAGAGAACAGATCAGAATAATAAATAAATGTATGTGTAGTTCTTTGGAAAATTTTGTTCCAATGAAAAATGTAACCAGAATAAGATGAAAAACGGACACATTGACTTCTACACGCTTGCTCACCATCAATGCCCTGTAGGCGATGTCTGTGGCTGTGCCTCTGTGTGTGTCTGTGCAATGAGCTGTGGTTGCGTTTAGGGGCGGTGGTCCGTGTCCGCTTCCGTTCAGGACAATATCTCAAGAAGCACACGGCCATTAAGGTGACGACGGTGGCCAGGATGAGCAGTGAGGGGACAATGATCACCTCCACCTCATGCTCCTTTATGACTGAGAGAGAAAGAGAGAGGTACAAGTGTTAATGTCAGGTCCAAGAGGCAATACTTTTTCTAGACTGTATAGTGTCAGGTTATCTGTGCGCAAAGTGACAAGTTGGTGTGATTAGAAAGACTGTTGCACAGCGGGAATGTCCTAACGGCCTGTTTCTTCTTCTTAAGTTAAGACAGTACGGTCTTGAACTCGCCTGTGGGCATGCATTTGTGTCTCAGAATGATGTTCCTCATTACTCTGACAGCAAGGTTGTGCAGGTTTTGGTTTCAACCTGGTTAAGACACTTTGACCGGATGAATGCATTGGCTGGTCAAAAGGTTGCACCTCTCAAGCGTTGACAGTAACATTACATCATTGTCCATTTTACACCAGTGTTTATATGTTGACACATAGCTAGAGGACAGTAATATAGCAAAGCATGTCACTATTTGAATGCAACTATCAATACCCTCAGTCTGTTGAAGCTGGGCAACAAAGAAATTTTAAATCAGATTAATTAAAAGCAATAATATTATCAGGTCCCAGTCAACAACTGCAGGAATTTATTCATTTATAGCCTATGTCACTATGATAACGAGTCGCATATTTGAAGGCATGTGGACAGCATTTATCACAATTGCTTCTCATTTTCATGTTATTGCATTGCTCACTGCTTCTACCATACTTGGCTGAAAATGAAACAACCCCAGTCCTACTGCATTGTGGCTGCATTCTCAACATAACACAGTTGGGCTGTAATTAGACAGTGAGACTGGCACGCTGACACAAGGATGAGTCATGCATTGACATTCAGAGTAGAAGAGGTTCAGACAGCACTGATTGTTTGATTACATGCATGTCCGTCAACCACTTTTCTGATAGCTGTGTCTGGCAGTTTCCACACAACTGAAACGCGTGTGTGTGTGTGTGTGTGTGTGTGTGTGTGAATAGTAAAACAATATATTTTACAGCCTATAACTGTTATATAACCTATAATAATCTTGTGAGTGATTATGACTAAAGATTTGTAAATATTTGCTGGCACCTGTGTCGTTTTTCATGTGATTAGGTTTTCCTGGCAGCTTTATACAAAATTGATTAATTAAAAAATGATAAGCTGCATTTGTGCTGGGGAAAAAACAGGCATGTGGGATAACAACACGATCTGAAGTAAAGCTAAAACCTAAACTAAAAAAAAAAAATACTGGTGTGGTTGTTGAAAATCTAGTTAACATAATAATTAACTGTGTGATCACAAAGACTTCCCAGCAGTATCTGTGAATCAGCAGTTATCTGGAAGCTGGATGCTGCAACATGATTGCAGACGGCAACGGAGCGTTTTATAGTTAAATAACTGGAAATAATGATAAACCTCATGGTTGGTAAATACCAAGAAAGAGCTCAGTTCACTGTCAGTTCACTTCTTTCTTTGGTATCGCCATATTGGCTTTGATCCTAGCTCTTTGTTTGGTAGCTGAATGTCTCATGTCAGCATGACCTCAGCAGAAACATTCACTAGTTGTCTGTTGTCTGCTGGTTTACTAGGGTTACAGCCAAAAATAGGTAGCTGCTGGCATTTACCTTAAGGCACTGAAAAACGAGACAATATATAGAAAGATAAATCCTGGCAACTGGCTGATGTGAGGCTGCTAATAACGGAGGAAGATTAAGCAAAAGGTAATAGAGACAGGAAGACAGGAAGGCATCTGTAATAGTGAAAAGTAAAAAGCCAAATGGATAAAGTGGGCCGAAAGTGCAGGAAGCAACAGAGACTGTGAAAATAGAGATACAAGAGGCAAAATATATAGTATATAATATGCACGTGAAGTAGAAGGTTGAGCCAGTATTTTTTTTCCATTCATTTTCCCCAGAGCTGTTGTCAAATAGATCTAACGTGAGCTGCCAGATCTAGAAATATTAGGATGTTTCAGGTTTGAAAAGGAAGCAGGAGACATTTGCAGAGGAGAGGAGGAATCTGAAGAGGGGAGAAGAAGGAAAGGAAAAGGTAGATGAGAGACATGAGAGTACACGGGTTGAGGAGGAAGGGTAGAAAGGGAGAAAAGCGTAGGAGATGATGATGATGAGAAGGAGACCGCTGAAAAGTGGCAGTTGAGTTCCTTACTGGTGAGGTTGTCGACTGATGTACGGGGATCAGCCGTGGAGGATGACATGCTGGAGAAAAAGACAGGAACATAGATAGATCAACATTACTATCAGCTGGAGGAAGAGATCAACATTACCTCTGCTCAGCAGCCACCCTAAATCCTCTAAGCTTAGCTAGAGTGATGCAGCATATGCCACTCTAATAACTCTATATGCAGCAGTAGCTGGAGGAAGTAGGTGGTTCAGAATTTAACTGTGCGTTCAGAGCTATCAGTGAAGTTCCAGTTAATATCAGCGCACACACCCCGAAGGATGTTGACTAGTGGTCAACACATTAGAAAATACTGTAAATATTTAGTGTGGTATTTTTTTATCTTGACTTGCAAATATAAACTTTGACCTTTTTTATCTTGACTTGCATAGCAAATATAAAAATGAGATCAGTATTACCATTGCTCAACAGTCATCCAAAGTAGATAAAAATGCCTTGAAAGTTGGCGTCATCTTTTTGTTTTTTATTCATACCTTCCTGATACTGTATATGACAGTATTAAAGTAAAAAAATAATACATAAAATATAATTACACATAAAAGCTGAGCTGCTGGTGAAAGAAGTCATTGTAGCATGTATGACACTGTCTAGCCTTCATTGCTGTGTGTCCAATATGCAATTAGTCTACTTAGACAAGTCAAGGAGGAGCAGATAAGTGCCCTTTTTCTAGAGATCTTGCTGACACCTGTCGCCGCGGCAGATACATCAGTGGGCTGAACAGAGATGATGTGCACACAGCTTTGTCTCAAAATACTCCCAAACGGGGGCAGAGTCATTTTTCTTTATTGCTAGTCCTGTAATATTATCCCCACCACTCGCAGTCGCTCCTTTTTCTGAGCGTACAAAGTGTGTGATTGAGGGAGAGACAGCAAGCGGCAGAGAGTGAACGGTGAATGCCGAGGAAAAGGTGAGCAGTGAAGTTCAGTAGTAAATGTGCAGTGTAGGTTACAGTTTGTCAGCGGATAAAGTCTGCAGCTTCTCCAGACCAAAGTAAAGCTTTCATGTGTGAGTCAGTCGTTTCCCAATTGCTGGAAAAGTGCATTGGTCAGTCAATTTCATGTGGCGTCTCCCGCCTACAATACACAACCTCAATACTGCATCAGTGTTACAGAAAGAGGAGCATCTTTATTTTTGATGGTATTGACAGTCATACCATCTGGATTTCTAAGTACCCTGGTGTACCGTTACCATACTTTGATGCCGCCCAAGCCTACTTAAAAGGATAACCTGGCATGCAGCAGCCCACTAAACTTCTCAAATCACACAGATGATATACCAGACATACTACTGTAATTTAACAGTGCCGTAGGACTGTTTATTTCAAAGGTCTCACATCAGTAGTGTTATTTTTACCATATAAAAAATCATATTGCCATTATTTTTGATTGATGCTGCAAATGCAACATAAGTCATATTTTTTTGCATTTCATTTTCACTGAAAAAAAAAAAATAATGATGTGATTATTGCTGGGGTCTATAGCAAACAAGCATGCCCCCTCATGTCTGGTGTCTGGAGTAGGAGTGTAAAGCATCTTGTTATTTTGTTTTTTTTTGCTGGTCCTTGATCCGTGACTCAAAACCATGATGTGATTTGATCCATGACTTCTGTGATCCGTTACATCCCTAGTTTTGGACAATATGATTTATAGGCTGGGGTGTCTCTGTAGCACCACGATGGTTCGTTTATTATGGTATGTTGTGACCCTTTATTAAAATGTGTACTTTCACTTGGCCATTTTCCTCATAATATTTTAATTAATTGTTCAGCCCTACAGTATTCTGCTATTTTGGTCAAATGACCCCTCTATGTATGGCGTAGCTGATCGGTTGGTTTTTTGAGTTGAGGAAGTTTGGTTGTTTATCAGTATAATGTTCTACTTGTGAGAGTTTCAGAGAGAGTCCTTCCATCATTGTTTGTTGTAATTTAAAAAGGCAGCAATAACGCATTTGTCAAGACAGTTAAATAATAACCGCAGAGACCTTCAGGTGAAAGTCTTTAGCTAAAAGTAATACCAGTTGTCCTGTATTCTCTCTGCATTTTATTAATGCAGAGTGACCAGTGCGAGTCTGTCATTCTGCTACCATGGAGCAATTTATCGATTGTATAGTGATGTATGCAACAAAAAAGTGATATGTTTCATTTTAGCTGACATGGTAAGAGTTTAGAAAGTCTCGATGCAGGAAACCCCCTGAAAAGAATCCTCACTTATCATCATTATTATAGCAGTTTCAAACAGTTAAATATCTGTAAAGCAAACTCAGTGTCAGAACACAGTAATACAGAGGGAAGGGAAGTACATTAAAACATAACTAATGAAGAAGTTGGAACTTAAAAGGGAAGTGAGAGTGTGAACTAAATAGGAGGGTTTCTGTGCTTGTATGCAAATTTCCCCTGAGGACATTTGATCCTTTATATTTGAACACGTTCAACTGTATGAAAGAGCTATAGAAGATCAGATCAGAAGGTCAAAATGAAGGACACCTATTTAGGACGGTTTCACTGAGCATGTATACTCTTGTCCTCCTGTTCATTTAATTTCCTTAACAAATGTAGCCAAGAGTACGGCTTCTCTGTCAGCCTTAGTGGTATTTAAAACATTGCTTGCTGAGATGTAGGCGTTCACAACAGTATTTGTTTGGTACAGGTAGACTCCTCCTTAACTTTGTTAGATTCCACTGTTATCCGAGTACTCACCAAGTACTCCGATACTCCTAATTGCACATTAGATGAAGAAACAGAAATGAGGTCAAGCTAAATATAAGCATATAATAAACTCGGCAAATATCAAAGTGCTGTAATAAATAAATAAATTAAAACATTGTATAACCAATGTACACCACGGGCCATTGTGGTGATGTAATATTATTATTAGCGTCAGACTGAAGATGCTCTTTCACAACACATTAACTGTGCAGTACAGGTACCAACTGTGTTTGTGTCTCTAATATTGCAGCGTCATCCTCACCTCTAAGAGCATGGAAGTATTTCATTGTAGAGTGTACTCTCTGTGTTACACATACACCCATATGAAGTTACACTGGTATGTAGTGGTTGTTTTATTTTAACTGTGTTCTAATGCAACTGTTTTATTTAAACTAATTATTTTGCTTTTACTTTTATTTAATAGCAGTGTGTTTGTCTTTTGTATTATTTGAACTGTAAAGTTTTGAGACCCTGCTACATGGTGGTTTTACAATTAATGCATTTTTAAAGGCTAAACACACGCGCACACACACACACACACACACACACACACACACACACACACACACACACACACACACACTGAAACTGTCCTCTAACCTTTAGAAAGTATTGATGTCACTGAACCAGTTTGTCTGCATTGTTTTCATTCATAATCACATGCACCAATAAATACCCGGCATTAACAAATACCTGCAAGCACAACAAATGTCTGGGTCATTTCACAACAGACGCGCACACACACACACGCACACACACACACACAGAGCACAAGAACAGGTACTAAAATATGCTGTTAAAGACACAAAGACAAAAGGTGTGTCAAAACACAGCTGTATTAAATATGTAAGTATTGTATATCACATATGAGGCCTAATTCCAAAAATGTAAAAGTTATATAGTGACACCATCTGATCACACTTACAGTATGTAATTGTGCATGCATTTATTTTACACACATATGTGTGTTCAGTCACACATCCACAGTTTTTAATCAGCCTCAACAGTTTTTATTTTATTTATTTATTTATTTTTTGTCACCTTACCTGACCAATTCTCTGGGACTGTTCAGGTGTCAAACTCCGAATGCTCCTCGTATCCAAAACATGTAGTTAGCTGTCCCTCTGAGCCAAGTGTAGAGTTATGAGATAAAGTCAAGTCCACCTCCTTTGTTCTCATGTTTTTGTAGTTAATCCGCAGTACGTAGTGATATCCACAGGCAGACACATTTTCATTGAAGATACTGGTGATGTTAGAATCTCTTTCTATTTTCCTGTGACTAACCCAGTCTGTGTTCTCACTCCCCAAGTCTCTCAGTCTCTCACTTTCAGGTTGGCCACGCCCACCGCTCCAGCTCTTTTTCGTTGTCAGTCTTATCATCTGCACACACCTTGCAGTCAGTATTGTATTTGATATGTGCATGTATTCGTGTGTCACTGTTCATGTGTTTGTGCGTATGTGCGTGTGTCAAGTTTCCAGTCAGCTGGCTGCATTTGTCAACCTGTCAGACATAGGGTTATGAGGTGGAGGGGCAACATGGCATATTTTTCTACTAACCATGATGTGTTTAATGTTGTATCTTGTAATGGCTGAGTTGCAATACCAACACCAAAGACCTTTTAATCAAACATATGTAGTTGCAGTACAATTGCAACGCACTGTAATGTCTAGTACTGAGTTTCCTTATTGTCCCTCAGACGCTTTGTGATTCATTAAAGACTAATAGAGAGGTTTATGAAAGTTTATTGTCTAGAGCCTCCAGATACAAACAGACAATGCACCTATCACTTTTATTTTAGCTGAAAGGTGTGACGCTGGCTGTGGTGTTTGTTTGGTCAGCATTGATGTTGAATAATCCTGACTTTTTACCTGCTTGGTCACCTCCACCCTCTTCACTTTAAGTCAAGCTGCTGCGCTGACACACCCGCAGACACTGAATGCACTTCGGTCGAGTTTCACCATAGCCACCTTATTGATTCTTATCCACCTAGAATGAAATGTTTTCACTAAATGGACCTAAAGGCTCACTGTTTCATGTATTTGCAGCTTTTGGGTTAAATGTCATTTTGGTGACCTTGAGGTTACCAGTAAAATCCATCCTACACAGGCCGTAGATTTAATTCACACAGTATGCAGTTTTTGTTTATTAAATTTCCCTTTATGAAGCCACTAAAACTACGGTAGTTGACAAACTTTGGCTTAGTACATCTTGATCTTCTCACTCTATTGTTATGTAAATTAATTCTGTTTCTGGTATCGGCTTCCATAGGATTGTCACAGCATAACAGAGACACACACGTATATGTTTTGCTATGGAATACGAAATCATCAGAGTTAGGCATTGTTTGCTTTAGTTGAATGGTAGGTTTTGGTGCACAATGATTGGGAGTGTTTTTGATGTTGCTGTTTTTGTGTATTTTATTAGCCAAGTTGTTTTTTTAGAAATGAGTTATTTTTCGTGTTTAAGATTTTTCTTAATCGTGTTGATTGTTCTGACAAGCAGCCCTTCTTTTGCTTGCGTGACTATTTCTTTTTGCATGAATGTAATCACTTTGTACTCATTTGAGTCTTTGAACTGGGTAGGATTTGATCCTACGTTTCTGTGTCTCTGTAAGGCAGTTTACTTCACTGTTGATGAACACACAGGGACTTCATCACATAGACCCACTTTACACCTGCCATTAAAATGCATTTTGGGGGATCGGATTGCAATCAGATTGACCACATAAAAGTACAGGTGTAAATTCACCCTGGATGCATTGAGGACAGATTGTGATCCGATCGGCCATACCACCTCCGGAGGCATTATGACAACACTGAACGTAAGTGTAAAAGCAAATGCATTGTCATTCCACCTACGACCACTTCTTGCAAATAAAATCCGAGGTTTGATGCCGCAGACAGGCAGTGTATCCATTCAATGTTTTGCATGAATGCTCTTAAAGAGCTCCTTTAAGTAAAAGTGCTCATGTTTTTGGTGAACTGAACGTATCCATTTGTGAACTTATACTCATGCACTGTTAAATTAAACTCAACATGATCTACTAAGGTTACAGAAAGGAGTACACATTATGAAGAAAGGTAGCGCAAGGAAACGATGACAGGTGGAACTTATGTTTCACTTTTACTTTCCTGCTGAGCTATTACGTGGGTGCCCTGCTGAAGAGAGAGAAAAACATGAGTGTATGATTCATGGAGGAAGACTAAGTTAGTGCAGAGACGGTTCAGAAAGTTATGAAATGTTATGAAAAAATGAAAAGTTATGTCTGTAGTTATGGAGCATTTATTTGGACCCGCGTAAGTGGGAGGAGATAGACAGATAGATTGATTAGCCACACGACAATGCCAGTGGAATTTGTTTTCGGTACAGTATGTTTAAGCTCTGCATGTGCATACAATACAAACAAACAAATAGACAATACACTTCACAACATGTAACAATACAAAACACAGTCCATTCGTAATATATGAGAAGGCAACTAAACTAAAGAGATGAGTTCAGAATCCTTATGGCTATGGGGGAAAAGCTGTTTGTGAAGCGTTGTGTAGCGCCTCCCTGAGGGAAGGAGCTGGAAGAGGTGGTGAGCCGGATGTGAGGGATCAGAGATGATTTTCTTTGCTCGCTTTATAGTCTGATGTGTGTAGAGTGATTCAACTGAGGGCAGTGGTATGATTTTGGATGCTTTGTTGACAGTCCGCTGTAGTATTTTCTTTGGTTGGCCGTCCGTGCTACCATACTGTAATCAATTATGTAATAATGGACTCGATGATAGCGGAGTAGAACAGAAGAAGTAGTTGATGCTTGATCCGGTATGTTTAAGCTGCTTGAGGAAATGAAGCCTTTGTTCAGCTTTTGCAATGATGTGTTAAGTGTTAGTTGACCACTTAAAGTTATTGCTAATGTTGCGATGTGACATTTGGTTGCTTGGGCTGGACAAAGCGATCTGATCAGAAAAATCTCACTACACGTCGCGGTGACGCAGAACGCAAGAACTGTGATTGTTCGGCTTTGTAGCATTGCATTTCCTCCAAGCTCCCAGGAAGTGCCCTGTGCTTTGAAGCCACTTTAATAGTGACCAAACGACCAAACCAAATGTGAAATGGTGGAACCTTTATTTTGAGCATCACAACCCGAGCGAGAACAAAAATTTAGTCGCACTCGATATACCTCAATGGCTTCCCACAAGCCAACAGTGTAGTTGTGTTTGATGACCCAGGTCTTTGCAGCAGTGGCCGATTGCTTCTTCGGCTCCACCACCCATGTCTCTTTAGAAGTTGAGTAATAAGTGTTTGTTACATTACTTAGAATCACTTTGAAATTTCTGGCATTTGATCTTTCTTGTTCTCTGCTCACTCAGCTTCACAGGGGTGAGCAGTTAGCTTGGGGCATGAGGGGGTAACCTCAGCTGGAACTAGTTTACACCATGTCAGAATATGTGAGAGAGAGTGTGTGTTTATGTGCGTATGTGTATCCATGTGTGCCAGTGTAGCGTGTATGTGTGTGTGTGTGTGTGTCAGTGTCCTGGCTGGGCGTCCATCGCGGTCCTGGTAATGCTGAGACAGACGGTGAGCGGGTGGGTTTATTTTTGGGTCAGTGACAGTGTGTCAATGGCCGCAGATGCGTCGGAAAGGAAGGCTCTGAGATACAAGCAAACCCTGGTCAGTGTCCCTTTCTCGTTCCTCTTATTCTTTCTCTCTCTGTTGCTCTTTTAGTCCATCTGTCTTGCTCTGCGTCAGCCTGTCTGTCATGTTAATTTCTGTCTCTCGTGTGTCCACACTTTCTTTCCCTCAATCACTTACGTAATTCTTGCATGCGCTCCTGTATTGGCAGTGCAAACAGCACGTGCATGGATGGAGCCTGTTAACTTATTGTGCGTGTGCCTGCGAATGAGCCGCATACTGTGTGTGTGTGTGTGTGTGTGTGTTAGACATGGTAAAGACCAATTAGCTGATCTATAACAACAGGGTCACGCAAATGGTCACGCAACAGGTGCTCAGACACTGTGCACCTCCTTCACCCCTCATCTTGGCATGCACATATTGCACAGTACACGCACATACACAGTTTGTCGCTGTTTCCTTCTTTCTCTGCCGGCCACCTGTTTGCTACCCTTTCTGCGCCTCATTTCTTAAGCTTAGTTGGTCTTAACACATGTAGGAAGGACTTCTGTGACATGTGTAACACAGTATGTTTGTATGTGTGAAAGTGTATGCAGAGTATACGTGTACATTTGTGTCCATCTACAAAAAGTGTGCATTTTGTGTGCTGGGTGCTTATCCATGTGTGTTCCAAAGAGGGGAAACCCCATCATGCATTTGCAATGGTGCTAATCTTCACCATTCATGTAGTGACATGTATGTTTTGGGACAAGGCGCTGTGAAGGCTGTCTCAGAACATCTGGAGGATTTTCATCATGGTTTTGGAGATGTAACTGTTATATAACCCTGGATGTTCTCAGAGTTGTTTTGGGATGCACCTTGAGAGGCCAGAAAAATAGAAACACTTGCAGGTTGTAATGCAATGTGATGCAGTAGCCTTGTTTTGAGTCACAGTTCACATTAAATGGGGTCCTCTGGTGCCGAGCACAAAACATGCTTCCGCTAACAGAAGTTGAGGAGAAAAAGAAAATGCAGAACATGCTGCAGATCAGCCAGAAACAAAATGTTAATGAAACAGTTGCACTGCCATTTTTAATGAGATTTTTCAAGGGGAGCTTGTACAAAGTCCTCCCCTATATAAAAAGATCAATAAAGTGTAATCATAAACAACACAATCACAGATTACTTTGGAGACATATGAAGCTATATAGCCTATTGTTGTAGCCTTGCATTAGTTTTTGCATCTCTTAAACTAAAAACAAATCAATATTTGCTGCTTTATTCAAGAAAAGCCTTGCATTTCGCAATCTGGCAAAGTTCATACAAAAACATGGTTTAAACCCTGAAAGACTCATTTTGTTGTGAATGATGAATCATTCTGAAATAAAGGTGTTGATAGGCTGGTATGTGTGGGCTTGTGATCATGGTGATATATAGAATTTAGTGGCTGTCGAAACTCTATGCCTATGTGTACTCCAGGAAGTGCAAAGTCATCTAGCCTGTGTATGAGTCTGAGTGTAGGGCTGCAACTAATTATTCTCTCGATTAATTTATTAGTAAAAAAATGTGAATCAGTATTTCGTGTAACATAATCAAGTCTCTTGGTTTTTTTACCACAATCCAAAAATATTCTGTTTACTGTCATAGAGGAGTAAAGAATGATGTTGCAACGATCTGAGACTGATACCGGATATCAGTGCAACACAGATTCAAATAGCTGGATCGG